ATAAATGCTCTCCTAAAACTAAATGTATATATATATATATATATACATATATATGTGTATACACACACACACACACACACACACACACACACATACTTCAGCCCTAGTTCATGGGGCTACTGCAAGGTAGAGGAGCCTATAAGAAGTGGAACCTTATACATACATACATACATATATATATATATATATATATCCAGAAAAAAACTAAAAACAAAATTGTATCAGACTATGATTATAGCCAATATTGTCCATATTGGGGCTGGAGAGATGGCTCAGTGGTTAAGAGCACTGCCTGTTCTTCCAAAGGCCCTGAGTTCAATTCCCAGCACCCACATGGTGGCTCACAACCGTCTGTAATGTGATCTGGTGCCCTCTTGAGGAAGAGACCTGGTCAGTCATCCTCAACAACTTAGACCATGAAATCCAATATGGACAAGTTCAACAGAACCACTATGTACGGCTGCCCATGCATGCTTCAGCATTGGCAGGACATAAATTTCATTCCATTAATGATTACAGTACTTATAGATGAATGAATTGTTCAAATGATGGAGTTTCTCTGACATTCAAGTTTTCATTTATGAGAATAACAAAAGTTCACCCACTGAGGAATGGTTTCTGAGGCGAATTGTTTTGCCAGTAGCCCATTTCTGCTCTTTCTTTTTTTCCTTTGTGGGTATACTGAATTAGGCAGTTCTAAATTGCTTTTTGTTTTTTTGTTTTGTTTTGTTTTTCGAGACAGGGTTTCGCTGTAGTTTTAGAGCCTGTCCTGGAACTAGCTCTTGTAGACCAAGCTGGCCTCAAACTCACAGAGATTTGCCTGCCTCTGCCTCCCAAGTGCTGGGATTAAAGGTATGTGCCACCACTGCCTGGCTATGGCAGTTCTAAATTGTGAAGACTAGAAAAGACCTATCAATTGGATGCATTAAACACAAAAGGAAGAAATCACAATGACAAAGAGCACCCAACACCCACATCATCATCACCACCAGAGTCCTGTTGGGGAAAGCTGCTCATTTGTTCCTAGCTGCCCAGACCTAAAATAATCACTCAGAAACCATATTATTTACAATACTGTTTGACCAATAGCTTGAGCGTAATGCTAGCTAGCTCTTGTATCTTTGGTTAACCCATTTCTATTAATCTGTATATCGCCACATGGTTGAGTCTTACCAGCAAGGTTCTGGTGTGTCTGTCTCTGGAGGTGGCTACATGGCTTCTTCTCACTGACTCTGCCTTCTTTCTCCCAGCATTCAGTTTAGTTTTCCCATCTAGCTCTATTCTGCTAAGCCACTGGCCTAAACAGATTTATTCATTAACCAATAAAAGCAACACGAAGAAGGACTTCTCACACCAGAGTCCCCAGCAGAAAACTCGTGAGCTAGTTGCTCTTCCCCGGTGGGGTGAGGATGTTGACGAGCTTCATGTTGCTGATTCTACTTTGGGCTATAATTTCATAGCCTGGACTTTGTTTTCATAAGTGAAGACAAGACAGGGCAAGTCTAAAGGCTTATCATTTTTTAGAATATCAAAACGCACCTCCCATTTACCTGTGGCTTCTCTTGGCATGATGTGAGTGTTATGGCTACTCTGTACCTGCCCATTACCACTCCTGGTTTGGATTTATTCCCTCACTTCCTCTCCTTCCTTCCTGATAGTGTCTTGCTCTGTAGCCAAGGCTGGCCTCAAACTTGTGACCTTCTTGCCTCAATCTTCAAAGAGCCAGTAATAACATTTGTCACCCTTCTTCCCTTTCCTGCCCTTACCTCTTTTCTCCCCCCCCCCCACGTCACTCCCTCCCCCTTCTTTGTCTTCCCCCTCTCTTTTTTTTCTTCTCCCCACAATTCCTTCTGAGACACAATCTTGTTACATTACTCAGGCTGGCCCTAAATCCACTGTGTAGCCCAAACAAGCCTTAAATCTGTGAAGCTTTGGCTTCAGCTTCCCAAGTAGTTGGGATTACAGGCATGTTGTAGTAATTATTTTTTTTAAGATTCTTCTCAAGGCATTGTCTTATTTTGAAAAAAGAAATGCTAACACCAGAAACAAAAGTTTAGCCATTCTGGGTCAAGCAGTACCAAAGGATCTGATATAGTGCCTGCTTTAAAGGAAACTTGTTACTCTTCTGCGATAGCAAGGCTTGCTTACGATTATTTTAGGTAAAGGGGCAAATGAAAATCAAAACTATGCATGAGAAAAATCTCCAAACATAAGGTGAAGTCTGATTTTTACCTCCTTTTCTCATGCCAATCAAAGTTAGCTGATCACAAACAGATATTTGATTTTCAAATTTGTTGCAAGAAAAGAAAAATTTTTTAAAATTAGGGGCTAAGAGTACAGCTCCATGATACAACACATGTTTAATATGCCTAAGACCCTGGGTTCCATTTGCAGCACTACAAAAATTAAAAAATAGAAAGGTAAAAATTAAAAGCCCTCTGTCCAGTGTAAAAGACAATATTATTAGTTAGATTATTACAAGTGGTGAACTAGTATCTGGTTTGTCTGCACACAGTAACAATGACATAAGCAGACAGCTGGGGATACATGCCAGACAGGAAGCATGTCTGACTCCTGAATGCAGACTGGATTCCCATTTGCTGAGCTACACCTGCCAGACTGGAAGCCCCTGGTGCTTCAGTCATGAATGAGCACATCCTGTTCAGGGCTTTCAGTCCTTAGGAAGCAGGCCTTTGACTCCACCCTGCAGTGCTGGCAGAGAACCAAGTCTGGGCTGACTTCCCTCCCCAGTTTGCCTGGCACTGCCTTTCCAGTACCATCCGGCTTCAAGCCACAGTCTTAGTTATACACGACACCAGTGACCTGGAAGTAGAAATATTCCTCCCATGCTAGAGTGGGAGGTTTCCCTTCCTGCCTCTTTCCCCGAGTTATTCCTATTTCCACCTCTCTATTCCCCCTCTGCACCATACTCTAGAAAAGGATTTGTGAGGTTGAAGAGCAGAGAAGAAAACCTAAGGACCGGTTTGACCCATTGATGATGATTCTGAACTAAGAACCTGTGAGGGTCTTAATAATTTTAACTTTGTGAAAGAAAACGATTCAATTAATGGCTTGACAAAGACATGGCATTGGAAGGCCTAGACCTCTCCTTGGGCCTGGAACACCTATGCTGGCCTACTTTTCATCAGTATACGATCCTGATGATAAAATACCAGGGCAGTCTCAAACTGTTTCCCAGATGGACTTCACTTTAGATATCCAGGCATTAACCACTATTGTTAGTAGTTTGTTCTAAGTTTTGAAAGGAAAAAGAAACCCAGAAAGGGAAAGCTTTAATTTTCACCCATTTCTTAGAAGAGAGAGAGAGAGAATGTGAACAAAGGAGTGAGAAACTATGATGTTCCTTTTCTTTTCTTATAAGACACTAGAATAGATGCCCTGGCTAACAGTGGACACAAACAGGCTCTTACCAAAGAAGGTCAAAGAAACACAACTTTCAAAAGAGCATTTCCCAGTACCCATAGCTCCAGACGTCCTGTGTGCAGGGGAGGGTAGAGCCAGTGTTTTTGGTGTTCCATAGTGGAACATTGCTACACTGTTGGGGTATACCTAACAAGAACTCCAGAGGACAACGAACAGTTAAAAATATATGTCAGAAGGAGGAGAGTGGAGCAGAAAAAGGTATCTGAAGAAATGATGACTGATATTTAAAATATTTCAACAAAAGACAGATATCTGCAGTCTTGAGATTCATAAAGCTGGAAAGCAGAAAGTCCATGTTGGTGTATGTCATAGTCAAATTGCTGAAAGCAAAGATACAGTGCATGTCTTTAAGCAGTGAAGAAAATGATGTATGACAATAATAGACATAATTGATCAACAGCTCACTTCTCAAGAGACACTGTGAGACTAGACGAGAATTGAAAAATATCAATAAAATAGCGAAAGAAAACAAGTAAAACATAAAACCCAGAATTTTTATATTGTATTTTGACTGTGCTTATTATACACGAGCATGTACCTGCCATGGAGCATGTGTAGAAGTTAGAGGACAGCTTGTGGGAGGTGATTTTCTCCTTCTACCTGCTGGACCCAGAGAGCACACTCAACTCATCTGGCATGGCAGCGGTGCCTTCACCCCTGAGCCATCTCACCGGTTGTAACTCAGTATCTGACATCCAGTGGATGTAAATTTACATTCAAATATGAAAGCAAATAACATCTAAATTTTATATAAAATATAAAAACTTGTGGCCAACATATCTGCACTGTAGCTTGGAATACTACAGGAAGCTATCTAAGGGGAATCATAAATGGAAACTGTCTTCAGGAGAGAAGAACCCCAGAAGTAGCAAACGCCGGGTAAGGCAGGGTGATTTCTGTTGGCCATAGCCTCTTAATCTCTTCATAAATTATTGGTTTAAGTCTGTTTATAGTATTGCCATAGGCAGTCTATTAGTGGTACAGGTCTTATGTTAAAAGACAAGTTTCTTAAGGCTTCCTAAAAGATAACATGTTTATCCTATGGGATGGTTGAAATCGGGACAGTTTACTTCTGTCTGTTCCAGCCGGTTGTCACCACAATAGACTTGTTTTGAGGATAGATTGAGTGGTAGGTTTTTGGATGAAGAATGGGACCTTTGAAAATTACAAATGGGAAAATTGAGAGGATCTATATGACTGGGACGAGCATAGATACATGGAAGGGAAAAGTCCATGATTAGATGTCCCCATGGTAAAACTTCAGTTTATAGTCACAGGCCTAAGAATCCACCCGAGATTTTGGCAGGCGGGGAGAGACAGATGTGACATACATAGTCTACCTCCTGACTCCTTAGTTTTCCACTCTTCACTAATTGTTACTCTTTTATAGAATCGACAAGAATATCTCTGACTTAGGCAGGACTTGCTATTTCATCTCCAGTCCAGGCCGGAGGTGAACCAAAAATAGATTTGGGAGCTTCTGAGGGAATTTAGTTTCAAGATCTGCCCTTGAGTGGAGGAAGTTAATGAACTGGGAGGATGGATGCATCACCTACCTGAATCATGAATACCTAAGGACGAAGGATGCTGAGAATTCTGGGTGGACCTGGAGGACTGACTTCTTCAGGCGTTGGCATTCTTGGTAAACATTGAGTGTCCTGGAATTTGGCAAAAGAAGACATAAGGAAAGAAGAGAGGTGTTGCAAACCTCAAAACAAAACAAAAAAGGACTTTTTTTTCCCATATGAGTGGGGAAAGAAAGATCTAGAAGCAGCAAGAACACTTCTTGGGTGGCTTTCCATTCTTTAGCTTCTTTTTTTTTGCCTGGGGGCTGAGGATCCCTCACTGCTTCATAGCTTCTGTCTAACCACTAAATGCTTCACGGCACTGGTTCACCTCAGAGCCACACATGTATGGATGGGAGAAGCTAGGCTACCGGAAGTCTTTGTACTCTGTTGTGACATTTTGAACAGAAACCTGGGGTGTTGATTTAGTGCTTGGGATACTGCAGGCAGGCTGACAGAACCCCAATTTGCATCAGAGATAGTTAGCTTTGTAGTTTGTTTTAGGGAGACTTTCAAATGCTCCCTCCTTCCCTATCCTTCTCCTCCCTAGGATCTGGCAGCTTCTTCAACAGAAAGAAGACAAGGTCAACGCTACCATGCCCAGAACATCAAAACACAGTGACACTAGTCAGTGATGGGAGGGAAGTGGAGATTAACTATCTGCCCATTAGGAATAATAATAATAAAAAAATCAGTTTTACCTTGTAGGCCATCTCTGCAGCACTGTGGTTCTGAGGCTTACACACTTGGATGTGGGCATGGGAAGGGAGCACTGGCATGGGAATGGTAATGGGTGCTTAGGAGTGCTTTTCTTAATCCCAGTGGCTTGTTTATAGAGGAAGAAGCCTTATTAACTGGTCCCCAGGAAGTGAGGGACCTCCTGGACTGATACCAGGGAGTCAGGTGTCTCTGTGTCATGGAAGCTCAGGACCTGTCTGTCAGGTCTTGGTGAAGACCTAATCGAAGAGTTAAATAAAACACTGTGAGAGCAAGAAAAGCCTGTTTATCCCCATCAATGTTTGCTAAATTCCTCTGAGGAGTTGGCTGTCCAGTTCAGTCAGGCCTGAGCATTGCAGCAGCGTCTCTTGCAGGGCACACCTGATTCCTTCATCTGCCGCAACAGGTAAAAAAATGAAGCTCCAGGGCATCTGATCTACACAGATCTCTCACATCTCAGCAGAAATCATAGGGATATGGATATTTTAAAAACATTCATTTATTTATGGGATTTCTGAAACAGTTTCTATATAGCCTAGACTGACCTCAAACCATGGTCCTTCCGACTCAGCCTCTTGAGTGCGGGGATTCCAGACACGCCAGTTCTGGTTAAGCGTTTTGCCTCTCAGCACAGTCCCCTCAACCTAAACCTTGAGTCTTAGGGTCCCCCTCCACTACCCCATTTTGCTCATTAGGAACCATCACATCTTCACACCAATCTAAATCTAAAGAAAGCCTTTCTGCCCAGGGAGTGTTGACTTTGTCGACCGGCTAGCCCTAGATATAGATATTTGAGGAGTCCGCATAATAGAAAGGGGTGATAGGAATTCTGAATTTGACTTTCTCCTATCAGACAGGTAAGAATGTTAGCTTCTGCAGGCAGAAGAAATTGGAGCAGTCTTCCTGTGAGGAGCATGCTCTTGCATGTGAACAGGTTTAGGGATGCTCCTTGTTGGACTTTCTCTGTGTCTCTGTCTCTGTCTCTCTGTCTGTCTCTGTCTGTCTGTCTCTCTGTCTGTCTCTGTCTGTCTGTCTCTGTCTCTGTCTCTCTCTCTCTCTCTCTCTGTGTGTGTGTGTGTGTGTGTGTGTGTGTGTGTGTGTGTGTGTGTGATGGTGAATGGATGGCCGACTCTTGGGTGCGGTTAACTCCTTTAGGGGAGTTCCTGAGAAGGGTCTGTTTCAAAGGTGGAGGCAACTCCTTTGCACCTCTAACTTCCCCATTCTCAGGAAATTCTAGCTCCCTCATTAACGAAGAGACCTTCAGTGAATAAGAAGGTTCCAGAGCGAGAGAGAAAGCAAGCTCCATGTGTGGTCCAACAGGGATGTCCTGAACATCTCTTGGCCCTTTCCAAAAACTTGGGGTCCAGTGTGGCAGGAAAAGTCCCACCCAGCCTCCTCAAGTCACCTCGTAGAGGAGGAGCCAGGTGGGTCGTGGCAGCTCCTGGAAGGGCTGTCAGCTCGGAGGCTTCGGGACGTCGCGGGAAGCGAAGCGCTTCGGCCCACGCCCTCGTGATCCAGGGCTCCACGGTTCCCGGGGTGAGCAGGCACGTCACGCAGTGTCGCGCTCCCCCGCGGTGGGGAGTCGGTGCCCCGCGGCCGGCCGGGCAAGCAAGCGGGCGGACCGTCACTGCCCGCCCGTCGCTCGCCTCCCCGCCCCCCGGCTTCCTGCGGAGGCCGCGGCCGCCATGTTGTTGTGGGGCTGAGGCGGCGCCGCCGGAGCCCAGCGGCCGTGACAGGCTGCGCAACAGGTTCGCTGCGGCCGACCTGACGACTGACCCGGCGGCGGCGGCGGCGGTGGCGGCGGCGGCCGCACGGCAGGGTCTTCCCCGGCGCGGGTGCCGAGGAGCGCGCAGGGGGTCGGTGGCGCGGTGACGCGCGCGAGGCGCCAGGTGGGTGAAGCCGCCCGGCAGCGCTGCTGCTGCAGGGCGCGGGGCAGGTGCGGGCGCCGCCGGCCCCGGGGCTGCACGGGCCGCGCCGAGGGGGCCGCGCGCCGCAGACCGCCGGGGCCCGTTCTCGACAGCGCGTGCGGCCCCCGCCCTAGGCCCGGGCCGGGCTCGGCCGAGCCGGGCGGAAACCTGGGCTGCGGGTTCCTGTCCCGGCCGCGGGGTCGGCGGGCCGCTCCTCTCTGAGGCCGGGACCCTGGGGCCCCTCGGCACGGCCTCGCTTGGCAGGTGACGGCCGCCGCCTCTTACTGAGGGGCGACGCGGTCCTCGGCTTTCCTTAGGGGCACCGGGCTGCGCGTTGCCTTGGAGACCCATTTTATTTTGGTTTAGTTTATTTATTTATTGTTTTTCTTCTCTCCCCCCCTCCTTGGTCAGCGTTGGTGCAGAGTGTCAGGTGAGCCGCATCCCGGTGCGTCAAAGTAGCCCGAGTCAGGAGAGGACTGTGGGCGGATGCTTGGCGTCCACAGCTCGCGTTTTTAACAGCTAAAGTTGGGAAATGTTAAGCGTTGACTTCTGTTCTGCGTTATGCACTTCCAGGGTGTATAGGAAGCACGGCGACAGGGAACCTCGGTCACCAGAGTAAAGTTGATTGCCTATTTAAGGAAGGGAGAAAAGACGCCTGCAAGTGCATTGTGGCTGGGGAAACTAAGGCTGCCAGTGCAGGTGGCTTTCATTCTGCAGATAGGATGCTGTTTGCGAGTATTGGTCACGGGCTGTGTTGTTCAGGGATTGCCCGTGGCCAATAGGTTCGTTTGAAACTTGAACTCATAATGAATAGGAGCATTTTGGATAGAGCCAGCTACTTCATAATAGAAATTGAAGTTAGCACAGAAACTACTGTTTTGTTACACGCTTTTTGGTCCGTTTCACGAGTGTTGTACTCAGGGGAGGCAAGTTGTCACTTGGAATTTTGTGCTGTTAGCTTAATTTCGGTTGCACAGACCGGAGGCCAAACTACATAAGCCTCTGAGAAATTGCTTACTTCTCTCTGAAGGCTTGCTATATTGTCACTGATAAAACCTGAAAGCGATCCAGAAACCTTTCCCACAGCCTTTATACGGATTGATAGGAGGCCTGCAAAATTCAGTTACCTATAGGTTAGGGATTATTCCTATGATTGCCTCATAAGCAAGCAAAGTGAAAATCTTTCTTTCTTTCTTCCTTCCTTCCTTCCTTCCTTCCTTTTTCTTAAGGATGCAGAAAAAAGCGTGTTGCTGCTGTTTGGTGTAATACTGATATGCAGCTGAAAAAAAATCTGCATGCTTATAAACATTTAATGCATTTAAGTATTCTCGTTGTTCACCTTTATAATGAAAGGTAGAATAGTTAGTGAAAACTTTACTGAGTAGAATTATACCGTTGTTCAGTAGATCTTAAGACTCAAATTCTGATTTCTCCTGAATATGAAGAAATACGTACACTCAGGGGATTCAATTTGTACTTTAAAAATAAATATGTTTTTACAAAAATATTTAAAATAGCATGCACCCATTACCCAGACATAGGAACTCTCAAGATTTTCATCATCTTTGACATTGGATAATTTCATATATAATCTTAGAACTTTCAGGGATGTGTGTGTTTGTGTGTGTATTAGGGAGTGAACCAACCATTTCACACATTCTGAGCATGCTCTCTGCCATCTGGGTACAGGGTACATGCAGACTTTTTTTTTTTTAGTTCTAATTCATCTTTAATGTAGAGTTTCACAGAGTTCCATCATTTTAATAAAAGAAAATGCATTGTTCATCATCAACTAAACTTCCTTTAGTATGACAGTTTATCTCCCGTGTGGTCATTTATAGCACACTTTCTAGTATTAGAGCCTATGTTCAGTGTTTATATAATTGTTTAAAGCATATGAAGGCCTCGTAGGTAATTAATGTCCTCCCATCAGATAAGTGAAATGTTAAATTAGCATTTAGCTGCTCTAGGTCTCAGAGTTAGTAAGTGTGAGCATCCCATTTCAGGTTAGGATTCTTTTAACTTCAGCACTGATGTTCTCGTACATAACATCTTGGTTCAGGTAAAACAAAGTTATATGGGCATTCTATATATGTATACATGCATATATAGAACATATACATATATATGTCCAATATATAGAGAGAGCAAACGAATTGCCGTGAGTACTCACGTTAGGGGAGGGTGAGCTAGGTTTGTCAGCTCTAGCAGGGACTGCCAGGACTAGGGTTTGCAGGCTTCTCTGGGAGGACAGAAGAGTGCTTCACCATGGAGCTGCATCTGGAGCCCTCGGTTTACACTGCCAGAGTCTCATTATTCAGCACACACAGGCCTCGAACTTATCCCACCTCATTCTGCCCACTGCTGATACCACGTGTGCACCTTCACACCCATCTCAGAAGTTTCACTGTTTGTTTGTAGAACGTTTACGCTGGGCACTGTACATTATTCAGGATATGATAATTATGTTACTAAAATATGATACATTTGTTGTCTAACAACCAGTTTGGGGGTTGATTGCTTTTGTATTTTCAGACTTAGGGAAAATTTTTGGAAAAAATATTTTGCAAAAAAAGGCCAAACAAGGGAAGACTTTTGGGGTATGCCAATTGTTAAAAGCAGATTCCAAGTGTGAAATAGAAAAACAAGAATTGCAAGAATTGCCATCCCCCCCCCCCCCCCCCCCCCCCCCCCCCCCCCCGTCTGCATTCTATGCGCTAGAACCCAGTTCGCGAGCTTCGGGCAAGGGGCTGGAGGTTGAGGAAACACACGCAGAGACAGACCGACACACGGACCTTCCAACACTGGTACCAAAGCCCATCTTTAATAGCACCGTGGAGGCTTAAATACTCTGTGGTCAATGGCCAACAGGTGAAAAATCCCATCCTCTGATCCTCTAGACTAGGCACAGCTTCTAGTAACTTCAATTAGAAGGCTCTAGCAGGGAAGAGCAGCTGAAGGCCAGGACTTAACTGGTCCCAACAAGAATATTTCAAATTATTTCTGCAGTTGCATAGGTCTAAAACTGAACATCCATTAGAATGTACTTCCACTCTTGGCTCTTGTTGTTTGTAAGTTTGTACCATCTACAGCTGTTGCACACAGACAGGGGTTAGCACTCCCCTGGGTGAGATGTGCATGTAGGTGTTCTTGAGAAAGAGGAACTGAACCAGCTTTAAAGGATGTGAGGCAGAGAGGAAATGGGGGAGGGAGGGAGGAAACTGAGCAGAAATAGGACAGTGAATAGCCTGAGAAATAATGTATTTTCATAACTCTAAGAGTGCAACATATTTCATTTGCAGTGTTTTGAGAGCTTCAATTAAAACATAACTTCACAGCCAGACCAAGACACTGAGTAACTTTGTTATTTGCAGTACAGCTATTCAGCCGTGTTTATGGCAGACATGTAGGGGTCTACAACCAGATGGTAGAGATTTAACCTGTGGTATTTAACCACTTGTTTTATGTTTTCTGGATCCTTCTCATTGTGAATACATATTCATTTGAGAAAAAGTCTGGTTTAATAAGAATTGCATGTGTAACCATGTTGGATAAAAGTATGGGCTCTTCAGTTAGACCTCCTACCCCAGCTCCAGCTCCGAATAGTTGTATGACTTTAAGCAAGTTTTAAAAATTCTCTTAATTTCTGTTTTCTTCTTTATCTATAAAAGAGGGATAATAATAGAACCTATTTCATAATGTTGTATGTACTACAAAGTGCTTAGTGATTGTGCTTAGGAGAAGTATGTAATAAATGTTACCTGCTATCATCCCAGCTTGCTTCAGTGAGAAATTTCAAGCTATTTTCTCCCTCACTCTGTGGCTCTGTCTCTTTCTCTCTGGTTTGTGATTTATCCTAATGACTCCATAAGAAATTAGCTTCTTCTTTTGGTACTCATTTTCTAATCAGCATCCAAATGAACTCTATGAGAAGACTGAAAATAGATTAGACAATCTGACCTTCAGTTTAGTCTAAGACTCTGCCCCTTAGTTCCCTTAGCTTCTACTGCTTTGGATAATCACTTCAGAGCCTTGGCAGGGGTTCAGTTCTTCCTTGACTAGGAAGAAGCTGGTGTTGAGAGAGGGTAGTGACAAGGGAGACCAGCTGAGGTGCCTGCAGGGTTCACACTGGTCTTTAGGACAGGAGCAACCTTTGCTTTGCCATTTTTTTGCTGCTGCTTGGAATCTTTGACCCCGTTTCCATCTTCCATCTAATAGGCTTTTGTGGCACTTCTCAAATGACTGCTTTAATAAAAATACCAGGTAGGTCAAGTTAATAAATCTTATAATTTTAATAACATTTGGTGGCATTGATTTAGAAATTATTCTTAGGGATTATAACTAATCATGTCAAAGATTAGTGACATTTTCTGTTAGTTACTTTCTTGTTGCTGCGACATAGTACTTGACAAGAAGTGACTTGAGGAAGGAAAAGTTTACTGACGCATGGTTTGAGGGTCTAGTCCATCGCAGCAGGAGAATGAGACAGGTAGTTGGTAGGTAACCACGTCTGCACTCAGGAAGCAGGGAGATGAATGCAGACACTCTGTTGGCTTTCTCCTTTGTACATAGTGCAGAATCCCAGCCCAGGGAATAGCAGTCTGCATTCAGGGTGGAGTTTCCCACTTCTTTGACCTAATCTAGATAATCCTTCACAGGCCTGGCCAGAGGCTTATCTCCTAGGTAGTTGTAGATCCTGTCAAGTTGTCCCTCAGTATTCACCATCATATTTGCCAAGAGTGGTGTGGGTCAAATAGGAGTGCAAAGTAGTATTGCTTCTCTAA